ACTTGCTAACTACCAGGTCTCAAATTTGAGGCAATATTTTGAGACTAAAGCTAGAGACTGTTTAGTGAATAGTAACTAGTCACAAATTGAGATTTTACCACAAAATGTCTCAAATAGAGACTAGAGACTGGTTACAGAATCCCGCTATTATATTGCTAATTAAATTATGTGCAAGTATATTAACAAAAACGAATTTTGATATTTTTAGATGGCCGAAAATATAAAACGGTTTGCTACAAGTTTACAATATTCTTAACTTTTTCGCATTACAATCAATTTGTTTTTAATTTCACTTTATTACCTTTGAACGTACTTTTTCGTAAAATTTATATTGATTTTCCAAAAATATATAAAATATTTTTATTAATAATTTCTCTTATTAATTTTTAAATAAATAAACAAATTTTACAATCAGCTGTCTAAATCCACAAGTCTGCCGCCTGTCACCATTAAATTTCAATACGCGTTGCTATATTGAACAGACTATAAAATTTTTTTGAAAATAATAAACATATGTATAACAATTGAGACAGTAATCTTCTTCGCAGCAGAATCAACAGTTTTGTTTACCGATGAAAGTGAATACAATGAAAAAGCATTACAGATCATGGCATTTTAAAAATAGCCGAAATGAACTTAGAAATGATATCATCCCTATTGGAAAACCCGGTATTATTTACCCGGTGTTATTTATATTATTTTTTCATCTTATTTGCAGAAGGTGTATCACGTTGATATGTTTAATCCCGCGGAGAGAAATATGGTCTTTAACTTACCACGCTGGTCTACTTTTCAAAAAACAATTTTAGTAAATGAAAGTTCACAAGGAACACTATATTATAAACTCTTAGTTCAAGGTAAGTACTGAAACTCTTAGACTCTAACTACAAGAAATGAGGAGTTATTTGGCCTTATTCCCGTCAGGAATAAGGCATGTCCGACTTATTCCAGTGTGAGAGCCCTTCAAAATTAGCCTTTTTTATAACATTTTCCATTATGGCAGATTGACCCAAAATTTAGTACGAATGAAAATTACTATATAGTGGTTATTTATTATATGGAGAACTATTTATTTTTAAAGTATATTAGAATAACTGATCTTTGACCTTTCAAGACCCAATAAAAGGATTTAAGCTTGTTAGCTCTCTAAAAAATAATAATATTATTCTTCAAATTACAAAACGTTTTATCAAATACCTTTAAATTTCACAAATTTATTTAATTTTCATTGTTTAAAATTTTTTATAAGTGGTCTTGAACGATTCAACAAATTCCGCCGTTTACATATTTTTTTTGGTAAGATTTCAATCTGGCCATCGCTCGTTTCCAACTGCTAAACGTCAAAACCTCTTTAACTCGATCAACTGTCAAAGTTCAGGAGGTTTTGACGTTTAGCAATTGTTCTCTCACTTCTAGTTAGACATCTCTTTGTCTCTGATTCCCGTCGTCGTTGTCTTTTTTAAACGAAACAAGAATGGCTTTTTTGAATTATTGACATGTGTCTATTATTAATTCATATTCTCCATTTTGAAACGAATATGTGAACCAGGTATAGTGGGATGCCCAACTTATTCCAGTGTGAAAGCGCCTCTAAATAAGCATTTTTATAATATTTCCCATTGTGGCCAGATCGACAAAAATAAGAATTTTTGGGCATTGCGAATGCAAATTGTGGTTTGTGAACTAGTGGAATCATAGGTACATATTTCTATAGAAATGATGCCGGTGAGAACGTAACCATTAATGGCGCCCGTTATCGCGTCATGATAGCCGACTATTTGATGCCTGAAATTGAGGGTTTGTCTGGAAAGTAATAGGATTGATTTTATTCCACCGTGACTGTAGTTTAGAGTGTGCTCGCACCGACAGGATTCGGTAGAGGGCGTTCCTAGCTTACGAACGAGCGGCTGGTCAGTTGTCTCTGAACAACTGGAGAGTCAGGACCAACATTTTCGCGGGAAATGTTTGTGTAAGCCGCCGATGCATCGTTCCTTAGAGCAGAGGTACTACATAAATTCTGTGTGAAACTATGCAAACCTGCGACAGAGACGTTTGATATGAGGTCTTTTAGAGGGTCGGGAAGAGGTCGTTGATGAAGATCGGAAGAATGAGCAAATCCGAAGTGAAATTGATGCTAATTGTTTTTTTTTACATCAAAAGCATCGTCCACCATGAATTGGTTCCTCCTGGATAAACCGTCAACCCCAAGTTTTACGTGGAAGCCCTCAAAATACTCAAACGAAGGGTTAATTGGCTCCGACAAGATATCGCAGCCGATTTGAAGTTGCACCACGACAAGGCCCCGGCTCACACCGCCTTTCTTGTGAACAGAAACCTAATCAAGGCAGGTATCCCGAGCCGCTCTACAGCCTAGATGTGGGCACCCCGGAATGGTAACGATTGGTTCAATACATTTTTTTAAATCGACTCAGTCCTTTTACTTTCGGGACAAACCCTGTATATTTTATTTATAGTTCATACGTCTGTCATTTTAAATTATACAACTTTATATGATATATTGAAATTAATTTAAAAATTATTACGCTTCTGTAAAATCACGTGTACCTTTATTATTAAATTTAATTTTATACTAGTATTGCCAACATGCAATTAACAGATAAAAATAATTAATTAAAATTGTTTAGGTATTGAAGAAACTTTTCCGACTATTGAATTGAGAATTGTACCGTTATCTTGTATTGGGGATCTGAATTCAATTATCATAAAAATGTGCATACCCTGGGCGCCAGGATTTAACAAATATCAAATTATTCGGTATCTTAATGCTACATAATATTATAAATTAGTATTTATTCTAATCAAAATCTTACTTTAAATAGCGATCCTTCAGCAGAAGTATTTTATGTGAATGTTCCTGTTTCTAGTCCAATTGGCTATAATTCATCAATGAATCCGATTTCGTTAGAAATTTTTTTGGATCCACTTTGTCGATATCAAATAAGGTACGTAGTATATCAAGAGTAATATTGTATACGAGGAGCGTTCAAAAGTAAACAGAACAAATGATTTTTTCGCCAAAATCAATTTATTTTATTTAAAATAGTCTCCTTCTGCTTTTTGCACGGCCCAAAGGCATGTCGAATGAGTGTTTTAGCTCGTTGGCCGGTATGGCCGCCAGTATGCCAGTGCAAGCCTTTTGAATTTCCTTTACGTCTGCATAACAGACCTATTACTTTCCGGATAAACCCTGTACATTTGAAATGAAAATATTCGCAAAAATCTTAGTATTCGTATGGTAAAAAAGAAGTAGAGGGCACCGGAAACAACTATGAACTTAAACTCCGGGATTATTCAAACCAATTTAAATGCCTTGCTACAATGCTGTAGTAAACCCCGTATGAAAAGGAAAATTCCTTCTAAAGAGCAAGAGCCTTTATCAAAAAGGCTCAATAACAACCTTTAGCTAGTTCCGTTTTAAATAGATTTAAATTTATTACTTATTGTTTACTTTCAATAAATAGATACACTCCGGAATACATCAACAACACCTGACAGAAATCTAATAATTCAAAACACTTTTCTGCATTTTTTGCTTATGAAAAAAGTGATTTGATGCCGATTATATATTATTCGTAAAATTTCCAGCATGAAATTATTATATATCATATAAATTATTTTTATTTGGTTTAAATTTTTTACTACAATATTGCAGTTACAAATTTTCGATTGTGGGCACAATGTCTAGAATAGCTCAACAGTTTTGGCACTGGCTGCCGTCGCATCTAACAGCTGTTATACTAGTTATCCTGAAAAATCAAATAAGTAAATTCCACGATGAATCAAATACTAAGGGTATTCGACCATATCATGGGTATTTTCAATATGCTTCGTTATATCTTATAACCGGTAAGTGCAAAATAATAATTTATTATTTCTACAAACCTGTGCAAGGAAAATCTCAAATAGATTATGCTATAATATGCTTGTTATAATCTGTATTTTTTCGAAAAACTAATAATTACTTTAATCTATTTTTCAGGTTGTCGTGTATTGTTCAAATTTTTAACACACTATGATGATAACGAAAGTGGGCGAGAAATTTCAATTTATCCGGCTGTAATTATTCATGGCACCGCTATAGTATTATCAATATTACTTGTTTTTTCAGTTTGGACTGCAATCATTCTAAATGCGTATGGACTTTCTAAACTAATAAATTGGTATATAATATATATATATATATATAGTAAATTAACTGTGGTTATTTCTAAAAAAATTGCTTATAGGTTTTTACTGAGGTCGGTACTCTTGCCCATAACAGACACATTCCCAATTTTATTTGCCGCATTCCTGATTTCGCTGGCAATAAGGACATGTGGAACAGTGGCACTAATCATAACATGTGCCTTATATTTATTGTTGGTACGCATGCATTGTAGAAGTGCTTCTTTATATATTCTGTGTATTTGTTTGTCTAAAATGTTATATAGTTAAAAAGAAGCGCATTGTGTATAACATACATGCTACAATTGAATACATAAATTGTTCAAAATTTTTTATTTCTTAAATAAAGAATGAAAATCAAACCCATTGGGATGATGAACCACCGGAGAAAAATTTTGTGAAAGTAATATTATATTAAATAATTTCTCATACTTGTTTTTAATTTTACCTCTTCATTATAATCATATTTTTATAGAAAAAATGCTCAAGTATTAAATTTATTATTCATTTTAGATATCGAATGCTTACAGCGACTACTTGGAGAATTGGTTACTAAAAACAGCAGTGTCGTTGCATGCAAAAGTTCGTAGCTTTTATGATAAACAAAATGGAATAAATACAACACCAACAACAGGCATATCAAGCGATACAACTAGTCTTATGAGTTTAATTCGTTGTGATGGAATGAATAATTTCTCTTTTCACTTATCTCTTTTCAACTTGCTTACTATTATGACTTTTTTGAACAGCATGACTTTCGTTGCTTGGATGAAGGATCGCAGGTGATATTCTAAACTATTAATACTTTCAGTTTAGTAGATACATGTAATCAAAAGTACTTATACCCATTATATATCGTGAGTTTTGGCGTTAAATGTAACTCATAGTTTAGAAAATGTATATTTACGTTTTCCTTATTTCTATGCTAATAAATTTTTTACGTTTCATGTTTTTATTTTTGATAATAATTTTGTAAGTATTAATGTGATCATATTTTTTCTTAATTTGTATTTGTATAGAATTGTAAGTCGCGGAACAGACCCATCTCTACTTCCCACTGTAATAGTCATATCTTCCTTGAGTCTTTTATGGCGATTAAAATCACCTAAAAAAATGTAAGCAAACAATATAGTTATTGATACGGCAAATAATAATAACTATAATAAAACACATTATTCATAACGTAAATTTATTGTTTTCAGCTTTTCTTTCCGAATTGGCTACCGAATAGCATCGTTACTCATATATATGGGTGCTGGAGCTTGCATTATTTACTGCCAGGACGCATTGTATAAGCTAAACTATTTAATTGCCGGAACTTTTGTATTGATAACAGTGATGGAATTGGTAGGACAATGTTATAAGAAATTTAGCCTTTGAAAATGGTAAAAAGAGAAAAACTTAATAGTAAGTTGAAATCTATTGGGAATGGGAAGATTTAAGGAAAAACAATTTATGCACCTTTAGTCGGGAAGATGAAGATGAGGAAGAGGTTAAATTTTAAGAGTTAAGGGCTTATCTCGATTTCCTTGAAAAATTGAAATAAGCAAGTTTTTGGTTCATTATTTGTTATTTCTTTTAAAGAAATTTTGTTAAAATTTAACTTTTTATTTTTTATTTAAAATATTCATTTCTTTGCCATATTATGTTCATCGGAAAAAGACTATAATTTTTAGATTATAAACATTGGTTAACAAAATTTTAACATTCATTGTCACATATAAGTTAGATCAAATTTTTTATGTACGCGTACAAGAGCCATTAAACAATAATAAGTGAATGAAAAGAAATTAGCACGTTAGGTTTTCTTTTGATATTAAAATATGTATATTTTCTTCAAAAATGCAAACATATACATATGTAGATACATTTAGAGAAATTATTGCTTAATATAGAAAAAAATATTTATGATTTACATGAGTACTTGATTTTTGATTTTTTTTTTAAGTCTACGACAATAAAAAAAAAAGTTTGTATTTCTTAAGAAAGTGTTTATTTATTCATGAATATCTATTATGTCCCCTTCAAAGTAATCACCCTTCGATAAATTACACTTCCACCAGCGTTTTTTCAATCTTCAAAGCACATAAAAAAGTATTTTTTTTTTTGTGATTTTGTTTGGATCCTCGTGGCTTGACGTTATGCTTTCATGGTCTTTTCAGTTTTTGGTCGGAGGGACCATTCTCTGTTTTTTTCTCCAAATATTCGTGTTAATTACGTATTTAGCCGATAATACCAAGGAAAAGTACCGTACTGTGCGGTTTGCCGTATATATAATTTTTTTATTTTTATTTTCAATATAAAACTATACCAAGGATAATGGGATGCCCAACTTATTTCAGTATGAGAGCGCCTCAAAATAAGCGTTTTTTTATAACATTTTCCATTGTGGCCAGATCGAACGAAATAAGAATTTTTGGGCATTTAAATTAAAATGCCCAATTGCACTTCCACACCACCCAGGAGGTATGCAAAACGGCGCGTTACCGAAGTTACTTTTCGGTGCTCGGTTCTCCTTTAGGCCTATATCACCCATTAATTAATTTATTTACATAAAGCAACAAAACGATAACAAGTCATTAGTATACGAGTATAACGAAAAAAAAAACGAAACGATAAATGTATACATATAACGTTAAAAACAAAACAATAACAATTCATGCAAAAAATATATAAAAATATCACAGTAACAAATTGTTTACATATACACAAATGCTTAAATTTGAATCCCAAATTCTAAATTCCCTTAAAAAAATTGCTTTCTTATTTAGAGTTAATCTTAGTGTTTAAAATTTTTTTACTTTTTTATATTCTATCGTAAGTTTAAGTTCGCTTATTGTAACCACTAAAAATCCAACATTTTTACAAATGCAATAAAATCCTCAGGCGGTTTCACTAAGCATTTGTCTATTTGATTTTGATGCATTATGATGAAATCGCCGAATAAATTTCATCTCCTAAATATGGTAAAGGCAGGGAACATGTGTGCAGCTTGAAAATTTTTAAATAAAAATAGCCGCAAAAGTAGCTAAACCCATTTTCTTTCAAAAAATTAATTTCTAAATTAGTGTTGGAGTGTTCATTCAATAGTGAATCCTTGCACACATTAAATAGAACATTATTACTATATTCCGAAATTACTGTAGGTTCTAAACGCAACTCACAGTTTCCTTTTGCTACGACGTTTACATAGCGTAGGCTCCACGATTTCCTAAACAAACTAGAGAACATATAGGGCGTTACTCTAGTACCTTCTCTGCTTCGAATCTGTCCTAAAAATGTTCTAAACTGTCCTGACATAGTCGTCTCGCCTTCAGGTACGGAAAACCTGCGTGTGACAAAAATCGCCACAATCGTCTTAAACTGTTAATATTTAACACCCACTCCTTTATAAAACTAAAATTATTGGTTATGTTGCTTTCTAAATCGTCTACGATCCGAATAGTTTTTAAAATTTGTTCTGCCTCATTTAAAAACTCTAACTATTCAGGAGAATCTACAAACACTTTTTAGTGGGTCTAACACCCCAACCCTACCGCTATTTAAAATATCAATAACTTACTAAAAAACGAAACGAATTCCGCGGTATTAATAAAGCTCCTACTATTCGAACTTAATGCTCCCGAGCTATATAGGGACAACATACCAGAAGCGACCGTATTACTCAATACTTGAGAAGCGAATTTAACTTTCATTTTTTGGAAGGTGTTTGGATAAATATAAGCATTGGTTAATTTATGCGCACACCGATAACTCAACTTAGAGTCGGTTTCATAAAAATGCACAATATCCGACCAACTTATCCGACTATTTTTAAAGAAAACCGTGTTTTTTAAATTTTGTAAGCAGTTTCGACTACTTTTTATCAAATGGGGGCTATCCTAATGGCACTTCCTTGCCATTAACATTAAAAAAAAGGCCGAGACGATGAAACACCTAACAAATTAACGAAATCCTGAAAATTGGTGCCCTAGTCGCCAACAAAATGGCAAGGAATTAGTCCTATATTTTGCAGTTAGATAATGACTTCAAGAATGTATTTCTTTAGGACATTCCCTTTGCAGGAGTCTTTTACGAAAAAATAAGCCAGTGGGTGGGACCAAGGCTCTACACCTATACCATGCACCATTATAGTCATTGCAGTTGTAGCTAATCTAGAAGGGCGATTTTCATCGCCATAATCCTCAATACCTATCACCCTACCGAATTTCCTAACATACTGCAAAATAATATTTCACTGAGGAGGAACTTTACTACAAACTAAAGAAAGAGGGTCTGACTGTTCCCTACATCTTTCTATCTCTGCGGCCATTTCAACTAACTGGGCCTTTAAACTTATATTTTCCTGCTCTTTTTCATCTAACTTTATTTTCAAAACCCTATTCTCTTCCCTCAATTTCTTCTTCCTTTCTGTACCTACTGTCAGACCCCTACCTGTTTGCGCGGCCTTATCAAAGTTAAAAGATACAACCTCCTCAAAAAATGGAAGAGGCTCTAAAATTCCATCTTCAATTTCACTTTCAATACTTGGAAAAAGCTGCCTCAATGCATTGTTTGCGAAACCTAATAAAATTGTATTTTTTAAATCGGAATTTGGGACGTCAAATGTAGGCTCAACTTTTAAATTCACATCGGGAACGGCCCTCGAACGCAATCGCTTTTCAAGGAGCATTTTTGCCGAAAAAACCGTTGAGCCAATATTTACGCCTATTTAAAGAAAAAAAAAAAATATATATAAAAATATAAATTACTTATAGTGCAAAAATACCAAACATATAAACTTATCTATTCAAATATTATTTAAATAATGCTATCAATTTCACATTGAAAATATTTAAATGAGCTCATATTAACGTTACATTTATATATTTAAGAAATTAACTTTCAAAATATCGAAATTTATCGATAATTCTATTACACTTTTTCTGTTTTTTAAATAAAATTGTAACACCGGATTTTTATTATTCAGTCACTTTTTGCACTATTTATGGTCTATTAAAATTACTTATCATTCGAGGTCCGTTCCCTCGCTGTTAAATCTAAATATGCTATCTCCCTCGCTGTAGAGCACAATGCACTTTTTCCATATTGTTGTTTTCAGCATTTTCGCTGTAAATTAATATGCCTTTTATATATAATTATGTAAGCCAATTACTTTATTGGTACTTACGTTTATATTTGCTGATTTCTCCTTGATATATTTAAAAAATTTCATTTACACAGTTCAATTTTTCTTCACTCCTTCACTTAACACTTTTTACTAATTCATTTTTCTTCGAAGAAACGCTGGCCGTTACGAATTAGTCTATTCTAATATTATTTCGGCGGGATTTCAATTCTTTTTTCTTCCAATTGGGAAATGTCAAAACCTACCCAAACCAGTCAACTGTCAAAGTTCGGTTGGTGAGCGGCTCTCACATTTCCAGTGACAGGAGAGTTATTGATCTCTTTATCTCTGGCTACGAATACGCATAGTTTGCTACCACCATGTGAATTCGAAACTTCTGTTATCAGACTTCATTTTGAATTTTGACATTTCCAAATTAGCTGGGTGACGGAAAAATTTAAATTTTGATAAATAAATCCGAAATCGTTTCTATTCAAATTGAATTTACGAACAAAATATGGATCCGCTAACGTTTGCATTTATGTTGATTGACCAAGAACGTGAGAGAAAATCATTGTGGGACGGTTCAAGAATCCATCTAAATTCATAGTTAAATTTTATTCAAATTATTATTCTAAAACTCGTTTATTGAAAACTCGCTTAAATAGGGCGGCCGTTACGTATGTCCTCGGTTTTCTAGAGAAGAATACAGGCGCTTAAAGATCGTCATCTATATCTTTACTTCTTCGATTGACTTCGGTTTTACGTTTTATAGGTGAGGGAGGCTACCAGCATGGAGTGTGTAAAGACTTCGATATTCCACTGGCTCAGTAAAATTTTTTTTGCATTTTAAAAGATGTATTGGAATTGTTTGTGCCTTAGTGGATAAACCTTTAGTTGAGTAACTAAAAGGCGCGATTTTGTATGTAGACAAGACACATATTAAAATGGTTGCTCCAACTAAAGATAAGTTTCTGTATTATAACCGCAAAGGATACTTTAGTATCAATGTCATAATTGTAAGCTTGATGACAAATGTTTTGCAAATATATGACAAAAATATGAATACACGTTATGTCAATGCTCAGTATCCTGGCAGCAATCACGACTCCCACATATGGAATGTCAGCAATGCTAGTTATATTTTATAAGAAAAAGTACCTTGATGGCGGACAAAATACTTACATATGTATATGTTACAAAAATGTCCAAAATGGAATTAACTCGTGAACATTTTCGTGCGATCATTTTTCACAACTTTCGACGTGGATTATCACGACAAGAGTGCTTCGATGAACTAAAATCTTTGTATGGCTATGAAGCACCATCCTATAGCACTGTGATAAACTGGTACAACGAATTCAATCGTGGCCGATGCTCGCTCAAAGACGAATTCCGTGAAGGTCGTCCAAAAACAGCCGTTGTGCCAGAAAACAACGATGCCGATGTAACATACCTTCAGATAGAGGCATGCCTATGCATTTCTCCCACCAGCATACATTCGATATTGTAAAACCGAGAAATATTGTACAAAGAACAATAGGTGTTTTAAAAATTGATTTGGATGTCTTCTGAATGCTCATGAGTTTCACTACGAGCCATGACAATCGTTAATTTTGCGGCTGGGTTACACAATGTTTGTATTCACTATAAATTAGAAAATATTTCAAATCCAAATATTTTTACAGTTTTATGAAGTATTTATTTAATTAATTATTTGTTGATATTGCTTGTAATTTTATTTTCTTTCATCTCCA